GGTGTCAGTATGTTGGGTTTTTTTTGCTGTGGATGTTGTGAGAATGGATGTAAGCCAGTGGTCAGCATTACCTCCTCACAGCACTTGGCCCTGGGTTCAAGTCCAAACCTAGGCTGCTGTCTGCTGGAGTTTGTATTGTCAGTTCTTGTAAGTTGGTTTCCTATGGGTCTCCAGTTTACTCCCACTGTCCAAAGACATACTGGTAGGTTAAATGGTTTCTGAGAAAACTGGCTCTGGTGTGATTGTGTGTTCTAGTGTTTGGGACTGTGAGTGCTCTGAGATGGACTGGCGTCCTGTCCAGGGTGTATCATGTCTTGTGCTTGTTGCTTGCTGGCATAAGATCAAGTTCCTCTATGACCTTATATTGGATAAACCAGTTAGAAAAAGAATGGTGAATGTGGAAGTCTTTATTTTCTGCTATTCATGCCATGTGGTGGACATTGTCTATAGCTTCAGGACTGTATGCGGATGGATGCACTTTGTGGAAGCTCTCCCACATCCCCAAAGCTGATGCTATAAATAGGATATAGGATCCGAATAGTCTGATAAACAGTTGGTGATAGCCATGGGGGTGCACTCAAGCTTAGAAGAAAGTATAAGGATTCCAGAAATCTTGAACTGAGGCCCTTTTTTCATTTTACTTTATTTTAAAAATGCATAAATAAATAGATACTGTTTACCTGTTCTGGAATAGTCTTCTAGATTAATTTCTCTACCCTATATTGAGCTACAGTATGATTAACTATTTAGCTGATGGAAGCTGTTTTGCACAGTAATAGTGAATGTTAATGTGGGTACAATCTGCTTCTGCTTAAGTATAGTGCGGTACAACCACACTATACTTAACATTGTTTTGCCTCAGAATGGATTTGCAACATTTAAAAGGGAAATGAAGCATGCAAGGATAAAGGATAGGAATATTTACAGTTATGTTCTCAAATTTATGTTTTCCATTGTGAGTTTACATAGAGACTCAGTACTGAAGCACTCATTGATAAAATAGTTAATGGTTTGCAGATGGTTTCTAACTCTGGTTCACTTAATGGTCTTTTTCTGGGCTTACTTAGAGCCTTTTAAACGTATAATCAAGGCATCCTACTACTGTAGATAGCATGAAAAGTACATAGGGATCAGTAATATTTTCCTTTGTTGGTTCGGCTGCTGTTTGGCTACAAGGAAATCTTGGCTGAATAAAATCTGATTATGTCATGAACTCAAGGTGTTCCACAGGGATCAAGGCTGGGACTGTAACCTTTTGATATTTCTATGCCTATAATTAAGACTATTTGCACTAATCTTCACTGCCAAATTAGATTCAAAACTCAATTTAAGACCTAGCTTTACAATAAAGCCTGTAATGTATAATTTACTTTTACTCTTCGTTTCACTTAATCAATGTGCTTTTCATTTTTCTCTTTCTTTTTGATTTTGTTGTGGATTAAAAGTGTGTTGTTATGCTGTACTTTGGATTGTTGAAAACTGCTTATTCTATTCTGAAAATTGTTCTTGTGAATATGTGCATAATTAAAAAGAAAAAAACAAACGTATGGATGTCATTTAATCTATATACTGTACAAAACCTTTAAGTCTATTACAAATATAAATGGAAAAAGTTAGTATCTCTGGTTATAGAGATGCACTTGGTTTCATTGCTGTCTTTCTTCAGTGATGTGTTGAGCATGGCTATAACTTATAATTACAGTATGCTATTATATATTCTAGATGGATTGAATGGCATCTTCATTTTTGTAACTATAAAGATGCATAAGCTAAGCTAAACACATTCATCTTCCTTTCTGGTATTTAAACATATTACATCAAAAAAGATATTAAGGATTTAGGTTCTTTCTCCTCATAAGTAAATTATTTTTTGATGAAAATATACAACAAGGGAGCACTGTCCACAGTAAGCAGCCAACGTTCCTGACATAGGACATGTTTTTTAGAAATTAAACTTAGATATATAATGCAACACAAATAAAGCTATTTTTTATTGGTAAAACTGAAACATTATTGAATTTCATCACTCATCACTTCTCTTGAAAACAAACTCAATGCTTGGTGTGAAACTGACTCTTCCAAGTTTCTTATTGGATTTTATAAACTATTATTCCATCATTCCTTTTTCTAACCACTATCCAATACAGGGCCACAGGGGAGCCAGATCCTATCCTGGCAAACAGCAAGCGCAAGGCAGGTGTTACAAATGGGAGTCTGGGTTACTTTGTGAAGTGGACCCTATGCAGTTACAGTACGTGTTTAACTCGTGTGCGTTTATATAAATAACAGAAACACAAAATCCAACACAGCGAGTAACCAGATGTACTTATCCGAGAGCCATAATCCAAAAGCTGTGGTCAGAGGAGAAGCCTTATCCAAGTATGAGAATCATACATACACTGTAGGTAACGTCTTCAGAGAAAGCAAGAAATGTAGTTCACCAATCCTAAACACCATAGTCATAACGAGCAGGAAGAAAGTATGTTAGGGAGGGGAGGTGTGGTGGAAAATGAGTACCATGATTGGTTAAGTGTGTCTAGACGCTCTACGCCTTCCTCTTTTGACTGAGGTGAAGGTTTGTGGTACAGTAGGTGCCACCTGGTAGCGGTAGGCTGGTACTGTAACAGCAGGATACACCCTGGATGGGACATTGCAGGGGATACACAGGCACAGACATACTGTACACAATCACACTAACAGCAGGGCCAATTTTCCCTGAAACCAGTTAATCTACCTGTATGTCTTTGGACTGTGGGACAAAACTGAGGCACCCAGGGGAAACCCATGAGAATGCAGGGAGAATATTCAAATACTATGGCAACAGCATCCCAGGAACTAAACTTGTGGCACCAGTGCTGTGAGTCAGCAAGGATGCATCATGCTGCCCTTTGGACTTTATTATTTCAGGTTTTTAGTTTCCTTACCACATGCTAGCAAATATCTTGAGGTTATGTATATATAGTACATAGTATATACTGCAGCATAGGTAGTATCTAAGTGACTTAAAGTACATATATTCAGATATATTTTCATTATTTGATATTTTATATACACTATGTTGTGATGCTGAGTAGGGATGTGCCATGAGAGGCATGGCTTTTCCTGGGGTCTATATCTTTCCTTTTGGAAGCATTTCCCTGCCCAAAATGGTGGCACTCAGATCACAGATGGTTTGACGGGACACCAGCACTCACTGGAGGAGGATCAGCTCCACATCCTGCTCCTGACAGAACATACTGTATTGAAGAGATAGTGATTTATGTTTACTGTATGTTTTTCTGCATGAGAGCTGGAAATCACTTCTTCCTGCTGCAGCGACAATGGCTTACTTTCCTGGCTGGGCAACCAGATGAGCCGCATTTTACTACAGTGGAAAGTTACTTGTTTATTTTTTCCACCGTCTTGCTGGATGAGGCAATTTTTGCTTGTCACTGCTACAGTCCTAGCTCTGGCTGAAGGGCAGCTAATTATTTTCCCCCAGTTTAGGCTGAAGGGCAGCTCCACTGCAGATTTCTATTTTTCCCTAATTGGGCTGTTTCTCCTCTGGTGTTCTACTGAAAGAGCCCTGTTTTTCCTAGTTTCTTCCCTGGTGTTCTACTGAAAGTGCCCCGTTTTTCCTAGTTTCTTCCCCGGTGTTCTACTGAAAGAGCCCTGTTTTTCCTAGTTTCTTCCCCGGTGTTCTACTGAAAGAGCCCTGTTTTTCCTAGTTTCTTCCCTGGTGTTCTACTGAAAGAGCCCTGTTTTTCCTAGTTTCTTCCCCGGTGTTCTACTGAAAGAGCCCTGTTTTTCCTAGTTTCTTCCCCTGTGTTCTACTGAAAGAGACCTGTTTTTCCTAGCACACATTATTTATTTTCTCCCCAACATCCTGCGAGCAGAGCCCCATTTTGCCACAGCACAAGGCTGTCTAATTTATCCCAGCATGAGGTCCTATTTTTGGCCACTGAAAGTGATTACTGTAAATAAGTGTGTCTTACTGTGTCTATGCTTGTTGTCTCATCTAGAACCCGTATCCTATTGAAGGCTACCTACACAGCATCACAATGTGTACTAAAGAGTTGCAATTAGGACATATATACTCCCAAAGAAACCACTTAGCCTCAGGTGTGATTGTAAACAGTGGTCTGGATGCACATTAATTCTCCAAAATGCATTTTTTTCAGCAAGGTGTCTACACTTACACTTCCCCAGCCATTAGTGGGACTGGAGAAACAACAATCCACTAACATAATTCCTATTATTACAGTTCTTCTTATAATAAAGGATTAAAATAAAGTTATTTCAATTTCTTTCTATTATTCTCTTCACAGCATGAGACCTTTGTAAACATTTGTTCTGCAATAATCCATTAATAAGCCATTATTCTGTACCGTCAATGATTTAATTAAATATGCTAATCAACAACAAGAAGAAATTTAAAAGGGATTTCTTAACAGTGTTTAGCAAACTTTTAGAGACCATGGCAAGAAAAGTGTCAAAGTTAAAATAAAAAGCCATTAAACCATGAATGTGATGCAATCTTTCAATCAAGTCAATCAGTAAAAATATTTAACTGTATTTTAACAGTTAAATTAAACTACAGCACACTGTAGTTAACTGGAAACGACATCTGTTTTCAAGTTAATATTATTATTTTGGTAGTTCTTCAGTACAAGAAAATACAATGAACTAGAGACAGCCGTCTTGTCCGTTGATAAACAGTAGAAAACCAATGGCCACTCAGACTATAGAAACCGTAATCCTTTCATGTAGCAGTTAACACATCAATTTCCCTACGGGATTAATAAAGTCTTATCTATCTTTTTTCTTTCTTAAAGCGGTCTGCAAGGGATTTAAAAACCGTTAACATTACTGTGCGTCTTCAACCACTCGAGATTTCTCTTCTGCATCTGCAATACAAAGCCTTCCCTACAGGAGGTGACCGCTCACTCCATCAGTTCGCGTGCCTCAAACTCACCTACCCGGCAAGGCAGTTCAATGAGCTGTGGGCGAAGAAGGACGAGATGTGTCTTGTGATTTAAGACTCAATAAACGCAGACCTGCTTGCTCATATGATGTTATCTCGGAGAGAAGGTGGTTTGAAAGATGTAGTTTCGCTTGTCATCACGGGATATCGTCACTTTTCGAGAACGCTTTTTCAAATAAACTGCAAAACTGCTGCCCGATGATGGACTTCCTGGACAAAGAATAGTGAAGATGTTTTTTAAAAGTTTACATAGAAATAGGGATATTATTATTTACTCGAATATTCTTTCAAATAACATTTAATTCTCTTCTTGCGATGAGTGACACATTTTAAAGAAAAAGTTCAAACTGAAACAACAAATAAACATATTTCGTATTTTCTTTTTAATTGCAATTCGGGTAAAGTATTTTTCTAAGACACGGCATAACAATAATTGTTAACTTTTTGTCTTGCGAGATATCAAGAATCTCATATTGCAGAGGCTCTTAACATACTGTACGGTAATGTCTCTCGAGGAAGTCTCAGTGTTTAGTCCAGAAGCTACAAATGTATTTTTTTCAAACGCGTCCGAGACAGACTACAGAAACTACACTGCTCTTTTTGAGGATTTTCCCTGGTATCCGGGGATTGCTATCACCGCAGTCTACGGACTCATCATTCTTGTGGGACTTGTCGGGAACATTACTCTGATCAAAATCTTTTGCACTGTTAAATCTATGAGGAGTGTTCCCAACCTGTTCATCTCTAGCCTGGCTCTGGGAGATCTGCTATTGCTGGTGACCTGTGCGCCCGTAGATGCCAGCAGATACCTGGCGGACAAATGGCTCTTTGGCAGAGTGGGCTGTAAACTCATCCCTTTCATCCAGCTGACCTCGGTTGGGGTGTCTGTTTTTACACTGACTGCACTATCCGCGGACAGGTAAGGATGTACAGTAGGTAGGAGGTAAACATTAGCAATGTTTTATTTTTTTTAACTCCAAATGACACTCGGTAAGTGACACTCTTTTTTGTCACTTACCGTAACCAGCAGGAACTTACATACAGTACATTTTGTGTTTAAATGAGTCGAGTCCCTCCAAAGCACGTTTGGTTTTAAAATTATGCGATTCTTCTTGTGTGGGATTTAAAAAAGCTCTGTTTACGCCTGTTGGGAACTTCATTCTTCTTTATTACCAAATGAATTGGAAACATTTCACGAAGTGGCAAAACCACGAGGTAATACTGTATTCGTAGAACTGGGTATACTGTGCAGTACTGTATACTTTAGATCCGTTGTTCACGGCTTGACTTTACAGAAATTTGTCTAACTAAAACATACACTTACTGTACACCAGCATTTCGGTTTACCCAAGAGATTAGCGTTTCACTAGCTGTGTAGCTGACTTAATAGTTTCCACGTAAGTGGAAAATTCACAATACAAACGACTTTATGAACAGTTCGAGCACAAGATCAGAATATTAAGCCAAAAAGACACATGAATTCACACATTAAGCGTGTTATGCAAAGTTTAAACGTTTTCAAACATGCTTTAATATTTGTTTATATCCTTTATCGAATCTAAATATTATATCCTTTATTTTTATTTAAAATGCTTTTATGTTTACAGCTACTTTCATTACTGGAAGACCAAAGTTTGTCAAATGTAGACATAAACAGTAGGTAGGAAAACTCCAAATTCATGGTCTAATGAAGAATACGAGGGTAGGATTCCTAAATAATACTTATGTTTACTTATGATAACATCAAAATAAGAATTACACTAATAATGACAATGCTCATTTATTGTAATAACTAGAGGTGCCAGTTTTCAAAAGAAAACTCTTTCTCGGAAAAAACCCCACATTGAGTTATATTAGAAGATATAACACAAGACATTTTCAAAGATTTGACAGAGTGAAGCAGAAAATGATGTGATGCACGTTGTCTTTCACTGGGTGAGAAACTTGACGCAGACTATTGTGAAATTGGATTATGGACTTTGAAGATGTGTTATATTGGAAACACTCTACATGTAAGTCTGGTGTCTTCTACTGTTTTGATGGACAACGTTTGATGTTGTAGTATTGCATTTGTTGCACTGGGTTATCTTCTAAAGGACAATTATGGTCTCATCACATTTTAGTGTTGTGTTCTCTGGGAAGCTGTGACTGTGACTAATTCTTGGTGAATTTTATGCTGGAGGTTTGGCTCTGATCTAAACTGCTTGTTTTTGCTGTCTGTGGAATATGGTCTCACCATAACCTTTTAAAGCATTTCACTCAGTTTTTATATAGGAAATGATGCTTTATATGATGTATAAGTACTGTACTTTGTTTTAAAGCTGCAAGGTAGGAGAGGAAACACATTTGTATTAATACAGAAGCATATACTGTACTGTAGGATTATTTGTGAAAATCTGGAAGTAGTAAAATTGTGTGAAGGCTAATGATGCTGGCAGGTGTCTTTGAGGCACATACAGTATATGTAAAATAAGCAGTGTGTGAAAATAGTAAAAGTATATATAATTGCAAGTCAATAATAAAAAAAAATCCTTATTTTGAAACTTGTAAAAATCTACTGCTCTGTATACAGTATATGCAGTAGTAATCATTTGCTTCCTTCAACATTGAAAGTGAATTGAAGTGAATTTATCCAATTCTTTACCATTCAGTAAAGCATTAACAGTACATTGGCATGTGAGAACAAATTCATTCATAAAATGTTCAGTAAGAAATAAATGTACTGTAAATACAAACATGCAGTGATGGAAGAGAAAATATCATTTAACCTGATGCAACAACAACAAGAGAGTTGTAGATTGTACAGTATGTATTATCTGTCATTATACAGGTAAGTCTGCTCAGTATTTGTCTCACACTCTGGCCCACTCAGAAAGGGTGCTGTAAAGATGTTTTATAGGCAATTTAAAACTTCATTGCTCTATGACAGGAGGACATGGCCAATTTAAGAAAGAACACAGTAGTTGACACTTGTTATTTCAGTGAAACTTTATCATAATTTTTCAAAGTGATTAAAACATGAACATTGTTTTGAGAAACACAGAAGAAGTGTAGATACTGTAAATGTATGCATTTGACTTTATATTTTCTTGAAAGTAACAAAATGTACTCCCTCAGGTGTTTCTCTTCCTGTACCCAGTGGCATACAAGTAAAAATACGTTTAACTTTTATTTTTGATATTAGTTTTTTTTTCAAATAGAGAAATAGTGTTGCTTTATTTTCAGATTCATTAAAAATGTCTACTATAGTTTACTTTATTAATTTAAATAAATAGACTTTTATATCCCATCATTTCAGATGCTCTTTGTATCAGGATTTTTCACTTTAGCTAAATACTGTACATTCAAACTTACACTTGTGTAAGTTAGGTGGATGGCATATTTTAAATGTTTGAACATCATTACCCTTATATACAGTATAAACAATGTATAACTGTCACATTTAATAAAGGAACATTAAGCAATAGTCCTTAGAACAAATTCCAATGTAACATAATTTTGGCATGCTAATACAACAGCAAAAAATGAGTACTCAGTGCAGTCTTTGTTTCAATATACCCTTTCAATATCTGGTATTTTGAGGAAAATCTTTGCTTCTAGAAATAAGAAAACCCAGAAGGCATGTCTTATCCCAGTTGCAATGAACACAACACAAAAGCAGCACACAAGAAAGTAATTACAGAACTGAGGCATTAGTACATGTTGCTAGGAGGTGGCACAGCCACCGCCAATATGCACATTTTAAACAAAAGGAGAGAAAGAATATTGTGTTGCTGCATCACTTTGTTTACTTTAAAAGTGGAGGACACAAAATATGGATGTCGGCTAAATATTGTGGAATGAGCTGGTAGGAGACTGGAAAGATGAACTGGAGCCAGAAAACAACAGCAGACATCTCATATCTATGAGAAGCCTATGATTCCTAGTATCTGGTTCATTTCATGGACTGAAGCACATTGTTGGCATGTCAGTCAATTAACCCAGAGGTCCTGTTATCGAAGTATTGTGGAAGAGAACCCAACATCATCAGTATTTATTTCCCTAAGACCCAGGAGGCTGACATTTAAGTCATTGACAGTTTCCCCAAAAAGACTTGGGAGTGAAAGACCGTGCACATTTGATCTACAACCTGCAAGAAGTTTGAGCAGCTGTGCAATCAATGTACAGATGGTCAGTGCTGCTGACAATCACCAACATTGTAGCCACATGCAGCAAAATGGTTCTGCATGTTACATTTATCATTGCCTCTATAATTGTGGTACCTGAAGGAAAATAAACATGAACCTTGGTGTCTTATAAGTATGTGAATAGGTCATTTAATGCAAGGTAGCACAAGACTGCACACATCTTTAACATTACAGATAGAGATCATTACTCTTTGTGCTGTTAAGGTGATAGTGTCTACTTGTTAAGACCCTGAATTATGATGCCTGTGCTATAGTTGTACTCACCAGAAGCACAGCAGAAAAGCACACAGTATAATGAGGCACTTAGAGGAAGTACATGTTTCACTGGCAATTTGGGTACTGATACAGTACATGGAGCTATTGACAGCACATACATTTTTGATTTACATACATCCAGAAAAAAACTTGATCTGTCACTGTACAATTACATTTAACAACAAGACTGTGACACTGTCAATAAAGTGCAGCATAATGATATTAAATATCTCCAATTTCATGACAATCACAGGAATTATGAACAGAAGAATGTATTATATACTGTATGTATATATTCATCCTTGTATTGTAGTCTGTAGAATAACACAACACATATACTATATAAACAGCTAGTTTGCACTTCCTAATCACCCTAGATTGTGAGACACACCATCAATGTTATCTCAGATGTGATTGTCTGTGTGGTCTCCATCTGGCTGTGCAGTAGACTTTGATGGCATGGCAGCACCTACATTGCATTAATGATCGTGGATACAGAAGAGACCACTCACAGTGCCTACATACATTAGAACTTCTCATTTTTCCAACACTGTGGCTCTCCATGACTTGACAATCTCATCACTTTCACATTTAATGATCTAGTGTGCTGCTGTAGGGGAAGTAGAGTGTGTAATAGTTTCAAAGGTTGTGGTTCCTGCTGTTTTAGGAACTGGTTTAGGAACTGCTCTCTCTGTGATAATTCTTATTTTTGTGCATAAGATCACATACTGTACTTGTTGCATGCTAGACATGAAGGACATTAGTGTCTGTACTTCCTAAAGATGGGTTTGTTGCACTCGATTCTTTTTCATAGAAGATACAAAGGCAAATTTTATAAAGGGACATTAAATTACATTAGTTGAATTCCATCTCCTGTATATACTGTACATAGAATTCTAAGTTGTCCTTAGCAACTAACACTCTTGACATTATATGAACCTAAACAACTTGCATACCCAGTGTCCACACCATGTAACTATACAGCATATGTGGAATTTGTGTATTACTGTGTAAGCAAATACAGAATCACTTGAGGACAGCTACTGTAGCTACTGTATGATACTTTATTAGGGCTTGTTATACCTAAAAGTTTAGCTCTTACAAATCTTTTCTCCTTTTTAAGACCTTTTGTTGTGTTGTGGTTGACTGGGTGTGTCCAATAGTTTTGTCTATGTCTTTTTTTAGTATTTCCAAGGATTGGTTTTGCAATATTAAAAAATCTGTATGTTTATACAGGGGATCTAAATGCCTTCTCCTTTAATTATATTTAATAAGACTGTGGAAACTAGTACAACAGCGTGTCATTGAGAAATGGAAAAAGATATGTGCTGAAATGAAAAACATTGCTAGAAATTTTCTAGGTCCATTAAACAAGAACAGACTTACTCACTCAGGCAAATCAGAAAAAATACCTGTTCACCATCTACGGCAGATTCAGTGATTTAGTGTTTCATGGTAAAAACCCTAAATTAATTAACTGAAAAATATAATTCACTACCAATACACAGATAAATTTAGATTTCTGTAATGCACTGCTTTATTATTGTTTAATTGAAAGAGAAATTATGAATTACATTACATAAAGAGAAGCAGTCCTTGTGGCAATAGGGTTATATAAATGACAGGAAAGGTATTAGCCTCAGTTTCCCTGCTTTCGATGATTTTTTTTTTCTTGTTTTTGATCAGTGAATATATACAGTACATGTACAGTATTTAATTAAAATACTTGTAAAGTATTTTACTATTAGTCTCTCGCAATGAGTGTTAATCCAATGTCACACCCAGTGACCAATGCTACTTTCTAGATGTGTGTTTAATATCCTATGACAGGTCCCACTTAACCTGGTAGTGTTGGGCAGGGAGTACCTGAGCACATGAACTCCACATTATAGGGTACCCACATCCTATTTGCAGCAACCAGAATAATAAGTCTGGGGAATTGTGACACAGGGGCTGAGGCTGGACCAACCCTGGTGTAAAAACCATCCCACCCTGACTTAGTCTTTAACATTTGCCTCAGTGGATGCCGTGCATCTCCCTTTTAACCTAATATGTATAGGAAAGCAAACCACTCTTTTCCCTTTTCAACTTAAGGGAGAGCCAACCCCCTTCTCTCTGCAACCCTATAGTTAATTTTTTTTTCTGGTCTAAGCATACCTCTTAACTTGTCTGCCTTCACAACTACTAGCTCAACTTTTTTTAGAGAACGATTGAACACAGCTGCCACAGATCTTACTCTTTCTGTCTCGTGTGAGTGCTTGTACTTCCTCTCTTTAACTGGTCTCTGAGGTGCCTCCCCGCCGAGCAAATCATCACAGACAGCTGAGAGACACATACTGTACATACTGTATCCTTCCAAAACTTCTAAACATGCTGTAAATTATGGCCTTCTATATCCCGTTATCATGAATAGGTGACTCGTTTTTATCTTTTTATTTTTGGGGTATTAAAGACTTTGACAAAGTTATGAAGTGCATAATACATACCTCATTCAGTACAACTTCTGTGAATTAAAAGATATTGGCTTTAGGGAAAATGATTACATCATTAACCACATAAGTATATTTAGTGTCTGCATAAGTATTTCCTAAATATCTGCGTGATAAATATCTGCATGTTTTGTTTTGCAGTTGACTAGAGGGTAACAATAAATTGTCAAGATGTACCGTGCCACTTCATCTTGTCCGAGAGAAAAACAAAGAACCTCTTCTGCCAAGTATGTTTGGTGCAGATGGTTAAAGTAGGCAATGAAAACAGGAGAACATCTGCTTTAAAATTGCACAGCTCTGCAAAAGTGATTGAAGTCAGAGTTTGAAAAACAGTTCTAGCCCCTCATTAATCAAAATCACTTAATGCAATGAGGAAAGGTGGATTTCTCTTTCTGACTGCTGCAAAATTCTTAAGCGATAATTGTAGTTTTTGGTGTTACAAAATCCACAGAAAACTAATAATATTGCAACGAGAGAGAAATTAGTACTAAGAGTGTAATTTTCTTCACTGTCAAAATAATTCAATAGTAAGTTTTTTACATGTCTATACCTTTCTTGGGTGAAAACTTTCTTAACTGTATTATCGTAGGCTATGACATCCTGTACTGTATGTGGATCAAAAATGTGTGACGAATACTGATAGGTTACAGTGTCCTTTATTTAGAGAACATTGAAAAGTTCAGAATCTAGCAAATTTCTCATATTCCATAAACATAAACAATATTACACAAACCCACACGTATACCAGTTTATACAGTATACTTTGCGGCTACGTGACAAAGTACTGATATACATTTTAATTGGATTGTAAACTGCAAAGCCACGGACCACCAACAGCCCTGATAGATTGCAGAGGCACACAAAGATTTCCAATACACATTCAGTGCTCAATTACCTTCCTGTCTAGAATATCTATGTACTGTATATACTGTATATGAATTGAATGGAAGGGTTTTAATAACTAAGAACCTATTATTACAGAGATTATAGCAAAGGGAGAAGATAATATATTTTCAGCCTAATCTTCCATGAACACAGTAAGGTATTGCTGTCAGAGATGTTGTGGCAGTAAAAAATAAATGTCCTGATTTAGTTTTTATTAAACAATTTCACATTCCCTTGTACTGTAGCAATGCTGTCAAAAGATACTTAATTGACAGCACTGGAAAACAGTAACCTGTTAATTCCATAATTCTAAGAAGTCTACACTGAAATACTGCTGAGATGATTTGAGGAGCCTGCATAGACAGAAGTTAGGTTTCAGTGGTACTCAGAGATATTGTTAAAAGTCGTTTTCCTGTTATGCTGCAGCAAGGCATTGCAGACAGGCTGAATCTGGAGATCAGAGGCTGTAGTGCAGCTGTACGCTGCAATTAACTGCAGAGAATTAGTGGACAGAACCCAAGTGTGTGAGCTTGTGGGTCCTCAGGTGATTTCGGAGAATTAATTAATCACTAAAAAAATAATTTGAACTATGTTTCTAGTGAGACAAGACAGTGGAGCTTGCCTTTTTTTTAGTAAAATGTTTGAAAATAAAAAAAAGTCTTATGGATAGCTCTGAACACTGAATGGTCTTTTGTTTAAGACAAAGCAATGGGAAAGTGTGTCTAATATGAACTCTATTCTGACTTTTTCTTACAATACCCTTGAGTAGTGCATTGTGGAAAAGTAAAAACATATTTTTAAACACTGCTGGGCAGAAAAGTCCCTATAGATACAGATCAAGTGATGTGCTGGAAGGATATTGTGTACCATACTCATTTGTTCCTAGTCTGATTTCATTCACGTAGTAAATGTGTAGTCTCATGAAATTTGAACCGAAAATGATTTCCCCTCTTGTGAAGTAGGTGCACTTTAAAACTCATTATCGGAGTTTACTTATTCCTTTTTTTGTTTCACGTTCTCTTATTGTGAGATGGGTTGAACTGTGTTGCCAACAGTGGAAAGGGGAGGGAAATGGGTTTGTCATTTTAAAATGGGAACCTGTTTTGTGTTTGTACTGTATTGCTCGGAAGAAGAACAAAGCAGTTTACAAAGAGCAGTGCTGATCAACAGGGGGTCTAATGTGAAAGTCATTGACTAGTTACATGTGTGGACACTGTTGTAGAAACACTAATCATGCATGTTTTACACAAAGTTGCAGATCTTGCCTTCAGTGGTCTCTGAGCCCTACAGGCCACATGTAATCATACCACAAACGTTGTTTGGTACACTACTCTGCAGATAAAAAGGCAACCATGACATAACCATCACATTTTCATTTTTAAAGAAAACCTTTGTTACATGAGCAGCAGTGGAAGTGTGTTGTCCTTCTGGAATGTTGTTGTATCAAGATGAACCCACAGGAAAGGCAGCAAGTGATTGATCAATTGATGAGTCCATTAAAGATCAATGTAGTGCCACGCAACCAGGCTGCCAGTCATTATAAGAGCAATAAGACACCCATGCAAGGACCATCCCACTTGGACGTCTCCATCACTCTTTGTGAAGTGTTATCCTGGAGCCTTTAGTTTAACAACTGTGTTTAGATAACATCTTGCCAGGATCGAAACTGCTGCCCGTGAGCTCCTCAGATAATGAGCGACTAAGTATTGATTTAGCCCAGTCTCCAACATACTGAAGACATAAATACGTAGTGGGGCATGTTGGTTCCTTCCTGAGTTAGTCTTGTTTCTTGATGTTTACAGTACATGTGGCTTTACATTTGACAGGTTAAACTCTCTCACTGAGGTAGGACTTTTTTTGTAAAAATCACTCAAGTGTGTCATGGTCAGTCATAAATAATCTTACAAAATATACAAAATCCATATCCTTTATTTTCATAAACAACATACATGAATAGAGTGATATGTTTCATTTAATGCTCTCTGTATATAGTATACTACGTAAACAACCAAAAATTCCTGACTAATTGTTTTTGTATTTCTTGTGTACTTACAGGTACAAAGCTATTGTCAGACCGATGGATATTCAGACCTCCCATGCAACAGCAAAAATTTGTATCAGAGCTGCATTGATATGGATGTTCTCCATGGTTTTGGCAATTCCGGAAGCCATCTTCTCAGACCTTCACGCTTTCTACATTGCAGAGACCAATGAAACATTTGTGACATGTGCCCCCTATCCCCATTCAGGAGACCTGCATCCAAAGATCCATTCTATGGTCTCTTTCCTTATATTCTACATCATTCCACTTTTCATCATTTCTGTCTATTACTATTTCATTGCCAAGAACCTGATCAGGAGTGCCTCTAATATGCCTGTGGAAGGCAATGTTCATGTTCGAAGACAGGTGAGTGTTTTGGATGGGTTTGATTTATTAAACACATGGTATAAGAACATTAGGTCAGGGAAGGGAAATATGAGCCACTGAAGCAGGAGACTGTTCCTGGAGAATTGTGTTAATGTACTGTAGTTAATGTGTTTCATATCTAGGAATACCTTAATACAGCAATGCAGAAGGATATCTCATCTAACAATCTGTCTAAATGTAGTTATCTTAATTACAATCTTAAGCAAGTTGTTAAAATCTTTATCAAATCCTATTTCTTACTCAATCCAAATGTCAGTTAACTCATGTGCCAAAATGTGACAATTCTGTTTTATTAAAACACTGCCCTTCACAACATTCTAGAGGATCGTTTAAGTAAAATGTTGCTCATCAAATGCCAGTTCTGTTATTCTCCTGAACTTTCAGTTCTGAAATTATTAAAAGCAGCTTCCAAGCCATTTTCATTATTGAAAAAGGGGTTTAATGATATACAGTAGGAAACCCAAAATACCAAGATCAAAATAATGATAACTAGGAAAATGTTCTTGTGAAGAAAGAAAATATAGTCCTTGACTGAAATGCAGGCTTGTTGCAATTGCAGAATAGGTTTAGGAAATAGAGTTAACAGCTCTATTTTTGGATGGATGAACACACTTGCACAACAAACAAATAAATGCTGATAATGTCTGTAGCCTGTTTCTTATTATTTCTGTGTAAAATGTGGTGAACATTACAATGCGCTTTTTCAAATTGTTTTTTAAGGACTGTCACTAAATACTGTAACTAAGAAATGTGTTCGCAATTGAGAGTTGATTTAAAAGGTTTGAATGGTTTAAATTTTCAATTCAGAAAATTTAGCTTGCCACCTAATAAGAGTTTACAATGTCAGCTGTTAAAGTTGTTTATCTGTCAACAGTGATTTAAAATGAGAAGATCTGAAACAAAAAATCTAGGTATTGAATCATTGGCATAATGATACATTTTCAGTGTCACAAACAATAATTCATCTGCAATTATGCCACATTCTCAGTATGAGAAACACACTTACTCAGCCTTATGGGAATCAATAATGAGCTTTTAGTGCTCACTCACACTGCTTTACAGTATGTTCACAGTAAAGGCAAGTGGAAAATGTTTCTCAAGTACTAACGTCTTGCTTTAAAAGATCAAATTTGCTATGAGCAGATGTTGTGTTTCAGAAATCTGACTATGAAGCAGGTCTGATCATTTACACCAGCTCAAAAATATTTAAAAATAGATTGACACACATTATACAGTATCATTAGTAATTACAGCATATTCTAATTTTAATTAGAGTCCAAGAAAAAACGTACCGTATTTAGAGAATATTATGATTTTAAAGTCTGTCAGGAAGGCATGAGTATTCGTTCCTTTTTATTAGTGATGTGAAAGAAATATACAGGCAGTAGAGTCCTACTGTATGTTCATATTCTGCAACTTTTCCAAATGTTCACAATTCTGAGTAAAGTTACAGTACATACTGTACAGTATTTCCCAGCAGAGTGTTGGCCTGAGATTTCTCTTCCCATCAAGCACCACAACTGACGTCTTTTTCCATTACTAGTTTAAGTAGACACTAGGAAACAATACACTTATTTACCGTCTCTGGTTAAGAGAGATTATCTTTGTTTGGACGTTGAGTGTATATTTCAGTCGAGAGTGTTAAAATATTAAAAAGTCCCTGCACAAACCTTGTTTGTATGTTTTTTTATTTTTCCTCACAGATCGAGTCAAGGAAGAGGCTAGCAAAGACAGTGCTGGTGTTTGTGGGGCTCTTTGCTATCTGCTGGCTCCCGAATCATGTCATCTACTTGTACCGTTCTTACCACTACTCAGAGGTGGACACTTCATTACTGCACTACGTAACTAGCATTTGTGCCCGGCTCCTGGCTTTCTCCAATTCGTGCGTGAACCCTTTTGCTCTATACCTGCTGAGCAAAAGTTTTCAAAAGCAATTCAATAACCAGCTGTGTTGCTGCCGGGCTACACTTCTCATAAGATCTCAAAGCATGGGCAGGAGTACTACCAGAATGACGTCCCTGAAAAGCACCAATCACTCCGTGGCCAGCTTCAGTCTTATCAATGGGAATCACATATGTCACGAAGGCTGTGTGTAGGATCGGCGACAAGGTCAAAAAGGCACACAGAAGCACTGGCTGTCTATAGGACATTGGAAATCAGCTGCAGTTCATGTTGGAGCCTACTTTTCGCGTTTGGATTATGACTTGATTATATAGTTAGAGTGTTTTAATCTGTGATAAAAAAGAGTTAGACATTTTAGGGTAATTTAATAACTGGGACTATGGTGAATATAGTTGTTATATTGCAAAATACATGTTTTAACTCGAAAGATTAAAGACACACTAGAAAGTACCCAATATAACAGTGTCTTATTAAATTACATTCTTAATTCTCCCAATAGTAGAATACAGTGTGGTGGATCTGTTTTGATGATGGATACTATTGTACCATACCATTCTTGATGCTACCTTATAAACTCATATGTTTTTCCTAATGTTTGTATAGCCTTTGAACTGTTGGTCTAATTGAAAAATACTGGTTGGCAGTATTCGACAACATTTGTCAACAGGTATTAACATAACCTATGAAGAAATGAATAGATAACTATTTTGCAAATAAACATTCTGATCTGTATAAAACACATATAAGTATTCCCCACTTCAGATGTGTGCACAGGTTTTGCTGTACCAATTCCTGTTACTCTACTATGTTTAAATTGTTAAGCAGCAGTGATATCGGGCTTTGAAGAAGCTGAAACAAGCTGCTGGAAATGCATTTTGCTGTAGTCAGTTAGCTAATTGTAAAAAAGATGTCTCAAGATGGTGGATCATTTTGAGGCCTGAAAATCACGCAGAATCTCTGGATGTCTGAATAGTTTTCATCGTTATTTGGGGAAAAAAGCTGATTATAATCTTAGTTGATGGTCATTGGACTGTAGGGAAAAGAACACAAGGAACTATGGAGATCCTGCATCCATCACAGCATCCATTTTGCAACATTATTATGATCTCTTTTCTGAAAGGTAATTTACCATTGACATTACAGTACTTCCTAAATCATTTGATGGATTTTATTATTACAGCTGCTGATTCTGCAGTGAATGATAAAGTAATATTTTTTCTTTAGGGAATCTTTCAAAATCTATTACTCCAATAATACTGTTTTAGAGTAGCAAGCTTGCATTTATTTTTTAAAATTCCATAATATTTAATATCTATGTAATATCTAAATTGTATAAAATATTATCCATAATTCTCCCCTTTATACCACTGTGTAGGGGTTTTGTGTATTTACTGGGACAAGCTGAACTTGTAAATATTGAATTGTACTGGGTGTGAGTTCACTATAAACATTCAGGGAGGATTTTTCCTAAGTCTCTTTTGTTTTATTATGCTCCTGGTCTGTTTCAAATTGCTATTAATTCCATTAAACCAAAAATTTAATTATAACACAAGATGAAACAGAAATTTTAGAGGAAGGTTAGATCCTAATCTCACACATGCTTGCCTAGTCTCCCATCCCTGATGTCTCTTGTACCCCTCCCCCCTCACCATGTACACCTCTACAGCAGCTCCCTGGCTCATTGCTTGCAATACAGAGGCAGCCAATTCCCTCAGCCAGGTGAGCTATGCCAAATACACTCTGCATACCTTGTTTTCGCATTAGGATCCAACCGAATTACAGACATAGGTGTTAAACATGAGAGAGGGGCTACAAACAGCTGGATTTAACAAGCCTAATTCATCAAAGTGGAAGTACAGTTCATAGGAGAAAATAAACAGCCAGTTAAGTCCATAGTAGTTGTCTGAATTGGAAGGTACTGCAGCATCCCTACATACAAAGTTATTAATGTTCCAGATTTGACTACTGTTGCACCTCTTTTTTTGCAGTACAAAAAAAATTGCCTAAGCACAACCTTTTGAACAGTTACTTTTTAAAAAGTAACCCTTCTGCACACCCCATAACCATGAACAAAAACAAAGACCTAACTGACATCATTGTAATTTAAGATTGCTTTTAGTTCTCTATTCATATCTTGTCCTTTGACCATGCTTTTTTTCTCTCCAAGCTGACTCCCTCCATCAGAGGGTCTCTGACATTGTCTACCTTGCCTTGGAATGTGAAACAAAAAACTTCAGTTCCCTATTACTTCAGTTCTGTCTGTGTGCTTTCATACACAGCACTCAGCTGAAGAGCCCTTTTCTCCACCTTGCCTAATAACTGTGTGCACATTTTCCTTACAGTAAACATTGACTTTTCTTTTTTAATACTGGCTTTTATTTCCTTATATTTTTTGTATTATATCAAAGTCTTTTAAGATAAATGCGTGACAAGAGATGATCTGCTGTCTCCAGGGGAAATAAATACATTACCAAATAAATGAAATCCACATCAGATAATATCCAGGACCATAAAGAACACATACTGTATTAACTTAAAAGGGTGTCAGTTTATTTCAAAGTATCTCTGAATTGGAACTGAGCAGCTGGCATAAATAGAGGATAGCAGGGCAGGAGTTTATGTGGGTTTTTACTGAAAATGGTTTTATCCAAGCAGAACTCATGCAATGTTCATGGGAGCATTGTTTTGTATTGTGATGTGGACATCCTGTATAATATATGGTCATGGTTAGCAGTTCGGTTTAGAGATGGATGCTTTGATTTGAAGAATTTTAAAGAAGGGAAGAATATGTTTTTTTCAGTACATGTTATTTATTAAAGTTTGTAACTGGGGTATGGGGTTGGATTTTTAGATCTTTATTTTTTAGAAGAAAGCATAGCTAAACAGTTTAGTTTCACTATTTAATATACAATATTTTCTTATTCTCTTTTATCAAAAAGAGAAATCAGTCATTATTATTTTCCGTGGAATTACTCTGTATGTAAAATGCCAAATAGAAATTACTTTAGAAGCAAGAATTGTAAAGTTGTAAATAAAAATAAACTATAAGCTCCAGCTCAGTATGCCAGCACTTGTGGGTGTCACAATCATTTCTACACATTTGTGACATCATTTTACTCAAACTACATCATACATGAAAATGACTTATGATGCTTAGGTGAGATACTGGATATGTCTCTTCTCACTATATGATTAATGCCCTGGCTTAAGCTAATTTTTTACTGTTCTCAGGTGAAAGTTGTCATTTTGCTACTATGAAGTATGAAAATTGTATGTTAAAAATGTATTCTAAAATGGAATCTGCCGTCCCCAATTGTTGAGGAATTGTTGATTTGACTGATTGACTGATTTTCACGTATCCTGTTGCATTCCAGTGATGTATACTCTGTCCTAGTAGACGTAAACAGCAGATAGTAAAGTAGCAGATGATATTCAGAATGTCCTTGCAAGTAGGAAAGTCATATTCTTAATTTTAACATTAGAAGCCCCAGGCTCCCTTTCTCACCTTGTGGATCCTTGAAGAGCTTTCATGCTCCTTATCAAAACTGTGATGATTGCTAGAATGGTACTGTCCTCTTACACATTGTATCGCACATAATCATATTTTTACGGAAGGATGGTAGAACTGTTTATTTGGTCTGGAGATGGCAGATAAATCCACCTAAGTTCCTAGCTTATGACATCTGGTGTTTGTGAAAAATGGAGGATGTGTTGCTGGTCCAATGTGTAACATATACTGTACATACATTTCCAAAGAGGACGAATGAACGTCAGTCCATTTTAAGGCTTCACTATGGATTAAACAAAATTAATTTTAAATAAAGCATTGGCAAGTCTCAAAGTATGATCCATGTGTTTAACATGAGATCATGAAAGTGAACATAGAGCATGTAGCACAGTGAGAGAGAACAGATTGTGCTTTTGTGTTTTCACTCCCTTTGGTTACAAGTCCACCGAGGTTCTTTTTCAGTGTTGTGATACAACCTCTCTCGTCAGAATTACATGCAAGCATTCACAGTAAACAGCTCTCACCCTGTGGCCAATCAGTACCTGATTTCAGCTGTATTAGTCAAAACAGTGCGTCAAGGTGACAGCTATGTTATTGCGTATTCTGACATTGTTATTATTTACTGCTATACACTCTCTTGTGTCTGTTTAATATAGCTTGTATTCAAGGTGAAAGTTTTAAATTGTTTGTACTTTTATTTTTTGGATGAATATCTTATTTGTTGTTACATTATGTCGACATTGGATGGATTTATGAAGAAAGTCTGTTTTATTTTGTGCTTCATGTAAATAGAAGATGAATAAATTGATCTGAAAATGTATTTCCGTGGTGTTTTTAAACTACTTCTGAACAGTGTGTATAATAAAGGAAAAATGTAAATAGTATGTATTTTAATTGTATATAGTTGGTTGGTATCTCACTTATTTAGAATACATCTTACACATGGAAAAGCAATTAAATTACAAATTTATTGTGTTTTTACTTATGCAAAATTCACAGTGATTAAAACCAGTGTTCTTTGTTAAAATACAGTATATATTCTTATCATTGTTAATACACAAAAGGTTTGCTTATATGAATTTAGCCAATAGCTTTTCAACATTATTCATGCACTTTTGCACAAGTTTCTTGAATGTGTACCAGTATTTTGAAACTATGAATATGTCTATGGGTTCTTTAAACTTTGTGAAATTACAATGAAATGAGTCCTTTGTTTAAAAAAAAGACCCTTTATGATGATTATAAAATTGTGAGTTGTGTATTTATAGTAATAAATATCTGTTACAGTACTTGTTTATGATTGTGATTAAGTAATAAATATTTGTGCTTTCTACGTTTGTCACCCTGTCATTACTTCACTGTCACACTGCGCCAGAAAATGAAAAACACATGCCATGTAATGTTCAAGTATTGCCTGATTTAAGGGAGTGGAATAATCGTTTATCTTCATAATTTGCTTGCGTGATGTTAGGACCAGATTCTTATCTGATCGGGTAAATTTTTATTCTATAATTTTGTCCCTACCTTTATGTAACAATGTTTAGTTTTGATTGTGTCGCCGTTAATTTGAAACATGGATTATGGGAATTAAATTATCAAAATAATAAGAATAACTGTGTTGGATATTCTACCTAGGGACACTGCAGTTAAGGGTCAGTCCAAACCCCATTACAATTTATTGAGAAAATAGTTCCTTGGTCCTCAATCTATCCAATCCCAGTCTCTTTTGGTTAGTTTGGTGAGCAGCTCCTGACTACAAAAAAAACAAATCTTGTGTTCACCAATAAGTGATTAATAATGGTGAATAGGGTGTTGGCTGCTTTCAACTGCTTCCCAATGTGTAAACTACTGTAGAAGTATATTTCATAATTTCTGTGCACAAAATAATCTCTTGGCTTGGTCCTTTTTTTGATTTTGTGCTAAGAAGTTCTCCCTTCCCTCTAAGTAGAAAGTCAAATGTACATTTTATATATTTATATGTTGAATAAATTTGATTTATCTGAAGTTAGCGTTTTTACTAAAGTGCATTGCACAGTACAGTATGTATTCCTGCTATTGCCTTTAACCCAGATAAATATAAATTCAAATTCTTATCATTTATAACAGGATAATAACAGGATTATTTTTAACCATTTTATTATCTTTCTGTGTGAAGTTCTGGAATAATTTGTAATGAAAAATGATTTTTTTTATCTTTGCATCTGGGAACTGTATTGATAATTTTATTAGGATGATTTTGCAATTGCACATTGTTCATTGTTCTCATTAATTTGTCAAACATAATGACTCACTTGGAAAATAATTCCCTGGGCAGCATTCTGCAGTTTTATTATATCAATCTATTTAAAAGATATCTGATTTGTAAGTAAAATTATAGGTTGCCTATGCTCATTATATTTTACAACTAATTTACTAAACACTCGGATTTCCTCTTTTGTCTGCAATTGTTTCACTATGGGTATAGATTAGATTTGCCCAGGTTTGTTTAAACAAACTATTACAGTAAAATAACACCCCTTTGCCCCAAACTGTAAAGAATTGTTTCAGATCTCCAACTCAAATTAAACTTAACAATTACAAAAGAAGGCACATATACAGTAGAAACCATTATTAGATTTCTTATAATTGGACTCATAAATCCAGGACTCATTTATGTGATGTGATTGAAATGCACATGATGTCAACCTAATTGTCCCTCAAGTGAATATCAGGAAGAAAATTATAGGCATTATGGATCACAAATCAAAGCAGATATTTC